AAAAAAACACTCAACCCTCTAGCAGCTCTGTCTCCTGCTCAGAGCTCAGCTGAGTAGACCTACTAGGACAACTTTTGGGTCCAGTGGTACCTTTAAGACCAACAAAGCTTAAACCCAGTATTAAGCTTTGTGCCTCTTAAAGGTGCTCCTGGACTGAAATTTTGTTCTATTGCTTCAGACCAACACGGCAACCAACCTGGACCTACTGGGGTCACCAGTTCCATCTTGGGGAAGTGCCTGCGTCTGGAGCAGTGCCTGGGGACGGCAGAGGTTGGGGGGAGGGTCAGAAGGGATGTATGCCACTCTAGAAATTCTGTTTCTCCAAGGGTTTGTAAAATAACATAGAGTCCATCTTCCAAAGTTGCCATTTTCTCCGGGGGAACTTATTTTTCTAGTTTGGAGATAAGTTGTATTTCTGGGAGAACTCCAGGCCCCACCTAGAGCTTGGTAATCCTAAAATTTACTAAGGCTTGTTCCCTATATCCCCTAACAGATAACAGCCCTCAAGAGTCATGTGTGTAGCCCAAAGGTTTTTTAGGGTGCAAAGTAGGATATAGACACCCTAGTTAATTATTCAGCATATTATCAGTCTAGTGGGATTTCTGGGGGCACCTGGTTTTGAAGCACTTTTGACCAGGGAACAGCCCCCAGAGCCTGGGATATATGCTCCAGGGTGGTCCAAATATGGGGGGGGGCTGCTTCCAGCTCCTTAATCTTCATTTCTTCTGATGGCATCCCTTGTTGGAGCAATTTGCACTAAAAGAGCCAGTTTGGTGTAATGGTTAAGTGGACTCTAATCTGGGAGAGCTGGGTTTGATTCCCCACTCCTCCACTCACAGCTGCTGGATGACCTTGGGCAAGTTATGGTTGTATCAGAGGTGTTCTTGAAAAGAGCAATTTCTGTCAGAGCTCTCTCAGCCCCACCTACCTCACAGGATGTCTGTTGGTGGGGAGGGGAGAGGAAGGGAAAGGAGTTTGTAAACTGCTCTGAGACTCCGAGTGAAGGGCGGGGTATAAATACAAACTCGTCTTCTTCTTCAAGCAGACTTTGGACCAAGGAACACCATCAGTTCCCTTACAGCACACAAGAGCTCTTCTCTAACTTTTGGGAGGTATGATTTGGTATGGTCCAATGTTTAATTTGGCATCCGGGGCTTTTTAAATGCCCTCAATATTTGTGGATGGATTTGCAAATAAGGAACTGGGAGCCAGTTGTAGCCTTATCTTGCCTTTGGCCACAGCCAGAGTTCCACAAGAGCCCTCATTTCTTTGTGCTCAGTTCTTCTGTGCTTGGGGGATCTTTATAAATGGGAGAGCCACCTCCTGAGCAATGTTCCCTCTAAGCTGTGGAGTCTTGTGAGCAAACATTCTACTTTGTGAGCTACTGGCATTAAAGTTGTGAGCAAGCAATTTGGCTACTGCATAAATCAGTTTGCTCTGGAGAATCACTTCCTGAGCGAAGACAAAAATGTGTGAGCCAGAGGCTAAAAAACTGTGAGCTAGCTCACACTAACTCAGCTTAGAGGGAACACTGCTCCTGAGTATTTATCCCACCTTCCTCCAAGGAGCTCAGAGCAGCATATGTAGTTCTTGCTTCCTAGTGGATAGTAAATCACCCTGTGCCCTTCGCAGCAGAGGGGAGATTTTGACCCTGAGATCCTTTTCCAGCACTTACCTGCACTGCTTTTCATATCAGGGCCAAAGAAAAAATGGACAGGAAATCATTACAAAGTTTATTTGTGAGACTTGAGAAATGTTGACTGTTATGTCCGCGGACAGGCCAGAGCTTGAATCCGAAAACAAAGGAAACTTCGGATCCTGGATTCCCCAGCCCCAACCAATAGCCACCTTGGCGGGACATTTAAACCCTCCAATGGGAGGGGGGGTGCTGGTGGATATGTATATAGTTGGCCCTGTTGGCCGTTAGAGGGAGTCTTTGTCTATGTGAAGCACAATAAACGTGTGCTACAGCATGTCGTTGTCCAAGTCCTCCATGCGGCGAACCCAGTACTTTTCATTGACGCATTTGGCCTCCCAACATTTTACATCTGGAAAGGGCATCTGAACCTAGTTGGAGATGTGAGATCCAATCACAAGGACATTGAAGTATCAAATCTATTTGTTCTTGTTGTTTTCACCATGAGGCAACAGCTGACTTATGGCAAACCAGCAGGGGTTTCAAGGCAAGGCGTTCAGCGGTGGTTTGCCGCTGCGTGCCTCCATGTCATGACCCTTGGTGGTCTCCCATCCAAATACTAGCCAGGGCTGACTATGCTCAGCTTCTGAGGCTGGGCTATCCTGGGCTATCCAGGTCAGGATATCAAATCTATTTACATACCCCGAAAAGTTAATGCTTACCTTCATATTCAACATTCCTGTTAATAATAATAAGATATATTCTTCTCCTGGTCTGTTAATATGGGTTCAAATGCCATCAGTGTTATATGTGAAATAAGGATATCTTTTTTTGCCGCATGTGTATTACTTTCATATGCTGAATTTTACTTCCCATTGTGATGCCCGGTGACTCAGTGTGAAGAAGTTCTTGTGTAGATCCTTAGATCCCATTTGTGTTTTCACCATTCTGGACAATTGCGTGTTATCAACAAACCTTCCTGGTCACCCCCAGTTCCAGGTCACTTAGGAATAAGCAAAATAGCAGTGAACTCAAGAACTCACGGCTTACTTCTCTCCATTAATTGTCTGTGTAAGGAGGATGGGATTCAAAGCAATATAAATGTATTCAGGCAAAAGAGTTGACTTTTCCCTGTCCTTTCAAAGGTTTAGACCTCTTTGTGTGTATCATTCTTGGGGGTCCTGGGTTGGTCTTTTTTGGGGGTGTGCAGAGGCCTCCATTTCCCTATTGGTCAATTCTTAGCAATGCAAGCCCAGGAGATTCCTGGAGCGCCCCCCCCCCGGCTACTCTCTTTCCCAGTTGCCCTTCCTCTCCCCTGCTTAATGCCAGCTCTCCCAGGTTGTATCTACATCAGTTTGCTGCTGAAGATGGGCAGAACATCACTCAGCTCTTGTCCTCATGGTGGGAAAATCAGCAGACTTGAATGGGAGTGCCTGATAAAGGGTAGGAGGGTCAAATCAGGTTCATGATGTCAGCTGCTGGTCCTTTAAATTGCCTTTTACTCAACCTAAGTTAGATTCTTGCCTGCTAAATGATAAATGCTAAGTTTTCAAGTGGGGAGCATCGGTATTTCACACACACACACACACACTACAGCTTGTGTGTATGTGTGTGCCGTCAAGTCACAGCTGACTTATGACGACCCCGTGGGGTTTTCAGGCCAAAGGATGTTCAGAGGTGGTTTGCCATTGTCTGCCTCCGCATCACAACCCTGGTATTCCTTGGAGGTCCCCCATCCAGAAAACTACTATTTTCCAAGATCTAACAAGATCAGGCTAGTCAGATCAGGGCTTAGTAGAGGGTAATTAACTAAAGAAATTTAACTTGTTGAATGATGGTTAGTCCTTTGCAAACAAATGATATTTCTGTCTGAAGCCACCCCAGGTGATATTTCTAAAACCTGACACCAAGGAGAGAAATTGCTGCCGTGATGTATGAAGTCTGATTATCAGACCTGTACGCATAGTGGCTGGGTTTTGCACCTTCTTT